TCAAATTCTATTACAAATACATCGTATGCAACAGAATCTATATATGGGTCTGATCTCTTTCATTAATTTGTATCCCAGGAGCTCACAAGTAACAAAAGAAATTGTAATTTCACTCTTTCTTCCGAAAGGCTTGGAGTTGGGCCTGAACAAAGAGGGGTTCTCTTGGGTTATTCAGACAGAATTCTCGCTGATGATCTTCACTCAGCCTGCACATTTGGTTGGGCTGGTTCAATTATAATTATTTGTATTGCCATTTATCTATTTATGTAAAAATCACCTTTGTGGCCCTTCAATTTTTGGATTTTGAGAGGATAAAGTTGGGTTTATTTTCATTGATTAAACATTTAAAATATTCATGTTTCTTTTTAGATTTATATAAAATTTATTTTCCTTAGGTATCACTTTTATATTCATCTCCAAGATGAATAATTAATTTTTCCACTTGGAGAGAAATTACCAACATTGGGAAGGGACAAAATTGTCTCTTTTAATAATGACTTTTTATAGTTAAAACGGTCATTATCTTATTTACTTGAAAAAAAAGAAGAAGATTAAATACACTTATCAAGTAAGTATTTCCTATGAAACACTTGTCCAAATAAACAGTTGAAGAGACATTTTAATCTATATATATATATATATATGTATGTATGTATATATGAAAAATAATAGTAAACACAATTGCGGTATTATACTTTGTGTAAACATTTTTCCCAATTTTTTATGCTTATATCAAGTAGAAAGGAAACACCTAGACAACACCACGCAAACGGCCAAACAGCCAGTTGGTGCACACATGTCGATGGTTGTTGTTGCTTGTAAGGTGAGTTTAGGTTTGCCATACAATTTGTTATGAAATGTGATTTGTTTGTTGGATTTTAGCAACAAAAGAGCTCGGTGTGTGAAATCATTTGGGACCCATTTGAATTATTGAAATCAGTTCACGACTTGGTGTCTGAAGAGTAGCTTTTCTTGTGAGAAAAGCTCTAGGGTGCTCATTCGATAATAATATTATTACAGCCTTACAGGTGATACAGAAGTTAAGGTTGTGTACCTTGTGTTTCGATAAGCTTCGGAATTTATGTTTTTAAAGTCAAAGAGCACAAAGCCCCAATTTTAGGCTTGCTTTGGAAAAACTGTAATATTTCTAAAGGCGATTCAGGATTCTTACCAATACCCATTTTATTTTCGACAGGCCAAAACTCAAAAGCAAAAGCAAAAGCAAATGCTTATCCAAACGGGGCCTTTAACTTAGTCATAAGTTAGTTAATCGCTATCAGAAGCCTTATTTGGACACCAAGCCAAACAGGCAGGCACTTTAATTTGCCACATGATATGTGATTCCTTCAATTACTTACGTGTTCTATAACAGTGCACATGCCCATCTAAGTACTTAATTCAATAAATGATGTATGTTCTATTTCTGGCATTGGCATTGCTAGCTTATTTCATGTGAACATGACATCAAACTAAGGAGATCTTAACAACCCAAAATCAAGCCATTCATTGTGTTAGAATGTTGAAAAGTAATTTAACTTCAAATCAAAAAGTGATATATCATGTAACTGATCCCATGAAATAAGGCTTGCATATATCATTTATTAGAATGGTAAAACAGGATACATGCAACACATCCCATATACTAGGGACAAGGCTTATGATGATAAGGAATGGGGAGTCTAAGAATGACGATGATACCAAAGAATTCATCGTGTGGTCTTTCCCATTCAAATGGAAGTGGTACTCAGTTTGGTTGCTTCTACTTTACTGTAAAATGAACACAAATTTTCCAACTAAAAAATTTCAACTATTATTTTTTTTTGGGTAAATTACACAGACACATTCCGTACCTAGAGGTGTCACTACCATTATCACAGTTAACTACATTGAATATTCCCATATGACCATTATGTGCATATTTAAATATCGGGTAAGCACAATCTAAGGCTGTATTTGGTTGGAGAGCAAATAAATTTATACTTGTGTAAAACCATGGCAGTGCAGATGAGTTAAATGTAAATTTAGACTTATTTTTGTTTTGAAGTTTAGCTTATTTTATTTGGTTTCAGTATAAATAAAGTAAATTAAGATATGAAGCAAAATAAAGTAAAATCTAAAATAAAATTAAATGAGAATTTGTATTTTTTACATTTATACTCTTTTTTTTATTCATTTATACTGGTGCAAATAAAAGTGCACTGCAATCAAACACAGCCTAAAGTATAAAATCTTATATTTTAGGGTAAATTACAAAGACCCCCTATACTTTGCTTTGCAACAAAGACCCCCCCTGTACTATGACCGTGAGACAAAGACCCCCTTCCGTTAGCCTTCTGTCCGAAAAGGCCATTGCAATATTTTTTAATCCCCATACTACCCTTGCAATAACTATTCGAACAATTGGGAGAAAAACACTATTCATCTTCCTTGACCACATGATACACGAACAATAGCGGTGATAATCCTCTCTACCTCAGATTCCTTCACATTTTTCTCTCTCCCCCGATCTCCTTTCTTCCCCTTCACCTTTCCCTCCTCCTCTTTCTTCTTTCCGCTTTCCTCTGTTTTCTATTCCTCTCGACCATAGCCGCCACACCTCGTTGCAGCGGCTAATTTGGGCATACCCCCTCCTCTGGCTTCTTCTCTCACTATGTCCCTTCTTCTTCCTCTTTCTTTTTTTTCTTCATTTTCTTCTTCCCCTTCTTCTTGTCCGTCTGTTTTTCAATCTTGAAAGAGATTACACAGTCCATGACTATGCCTATAGTCAAATCTTTAGAGCTCCAACTTAGCCCCATAAATCCAACTTTTATAACATCACGCTCACTGATCATTAACACTCCCTTGGATCTTGATAGGGGTGGATTCGAGCCGAGCCAAGCCAAATAGTACCAAGCTCGAGTTCAGCTCGAGACTATTCTACAAGGCTCGAGCTCAATTCGAGCCAGAACCTTGAGCTCGAGCTCGGCTTGAGTCAAAAGTTCATAAGCTCAAGCTCGGCTTGACTCGTTTTATATTTTATAAAAATATTTAGAAAAATATTTTATAAAAATAAATTATATATATAAAAAAATTATTTTATATTTAAACAATTAAGAATTATAATACTTTTATTTATATATTATTTTCTATAATTTTATTTTACATATATATGCTCGCGAGCCTCACGAGCCGAGCTCTAGTAGGCTCGAGCTTGAGCTTGAGCTCGGTTGAAACCGTGCCGAGCCGAGCTTTTCACCAGCTGAGCTCGAGTAGCTTGTGAAAATCTCGACTCGTTGCCACCTGTAGATCTCGATTCAATTTCCTATTATCTGAAGAAAATGATTAGTGCATATGTGGATTTGCTTGATAGTTTTTGTCTTCTAGGTGGATGAGTTTCATTCACCGGAAACACTGATTTTCTATTGTAGCTTGAACAATAGTTCACCTCATTGACTGTTTAAATGATTTGGATTTTTGTTACCTGGAAATTAGATTTCCGTGGAATATCTTCTCTCATATCTACTGGGAATCGTTAGGTTTGGGAACCTTGTTTTTTATCTCTAACATGCTTTAGAAGGAGGTTTTGCTCAAAATTTCTGATTCCTTCTTTCTGATACTTTTACTGATCGTTGTCTATGAAATATAATGTTTAGATCAGCAATTAACTTTGTCAATAATCAATTGTTATTTCTATTTTCTTTAGTTTGTTTTATTGTCTGACTTCGGTACATGAACTTAATAAATGATCATTTTATGGCTCTTGAGGGGTGAACTCGAAATGTGTGTGCAAAGATGGGAATGACGTAAGTGGTTCAAGTAGCAGGGCCTCAACTACTTCTATGCCTCTAACTCCTTGTGGTGTAGGGGAGATCATTCCGTCCTCCAATTTAAAGAGTTTTAGTTTCAGTGAACTCAAAATGATCACAAGAAACTTTCGGCCAGACAGTGTTTTGGGAGAAGGGGATTTGGATCAGTTTTTAAGGGTTGGATTAATGAAAATGCACTTACTGCTACCAAGCCTGGAACTGGCATGATTATCGCCATGAAAAGGCTTAACCAAGAAGGCCATCACGGTCATAGGGAATGGCTGGTGAGTATTCCCATTAGGCCTTGCATTTTTCAATATCTGATTCATCCTCTTACTTTAGGGGATTGTATCTTCATGCTCAAGTGGCAATACTTAGTAAGGATTTCCCATCACTCATCAAGGCAATTGACATTGAAGAGCCCATTTCTGATACCTCTACCCGCAAATCAGAAGCTATGGATTGGGTATGATGTTCGTGTCCTCTCTTCTTTACGTTAAGCAAAGCTTCTTCTATGGTCATTTTCTTGGTTGATGATCTCTAATGTTACGGACAAGAAGAAGGGGGAGAATAAAATCAAGAAAAAAAGAAAGAGGAAGAAGGAACAAAGGGAGAGAAGAAGCCAGAGGAGGGGGTTTGCCTGAATTAGCCGTTGCTACGAGTTGTGGTGGCTTTGGCCGAGAGGAATGGAAAACAGAGGAAAGGAAGAATAAAGAGGAAGAGAGAAAGGGGAAGATGAAATGTGAAAGAAGCTGAGGTAGAGGGAGTTACCGCTGCTGCTATTAGTGTATTGTGAGGTCAGGAAAGATAAACAATGTTTTTCTTTCAATTGTCTAATAGTTATTACAAGGATAATATAGAGATTAAAAAATATTGTAACAACCCTTTTAGACAGAAGGCTAATATAAGAGGGTCTTTGTCTCACGGTCATAGTACAGGGGTCTTTGTCACGAACCCATAGTACAGCGGGTCTTTATAATTTACCCTATATTTTATATGTATTTGCATTGTATATGTGGGTCTCTTTAATTTACCATGCCCTTAAGGAGAAAATTTTCTTAGGAACATGTAATTGGTAAGGGAAAAAAATTATGATCCCTCTATCTCAATAATCATCGACAGAAATCGAGAGAGTGAGAGAGGACTCAATAACTCACTTGGTTGAACTTGAAACGAAGCTTCATTCTTTCCGTTACCACTTACCACTCACAGAGGAGAACGAACACAAAAAGCTTGATTATATATTTCAGTGATATAGTCCATTTTTACAAATTTTCCAAAACGACAGATAAAAGCTTCTAATTTCGCACACTTCCACTGTAGACTGTAGAAACTGTATACGTCTTCAATATAATAAATAAAAAAAAAAAAACTGTATATGTCTTCTACACTACATCAGACGACCAGAAATCGTCAATCAAGGCGACAAGGCGTCGCATTAGTTACCGAAGCAACATAGGAGTTCACCAGAGCAAGCGCATTACTCGTGAACTTCGTAGCATACTCCACTCGATTACAGACGTCGGATTTCACTGGCCCATCAGGCACATCCTCGAACTCGTCCGTACACGTGTCCTCATTCGTCAGGGCAGCGCTCATCCACGTCTGCACGTTGCTCATACGGTATGCGAACGACTCTCTTGAGTTGGGACGCGGACGCCGCATCTCCCTCATCGAACTCCGCATCTGGTCGACCGCGTCGCCGAAGGTGCTTAAGCAGTCCTCCAGCACGGCGGCGGCTCCCTGATCGCCTCCGGTCACGGCTTGGCGCGACAGTTGGGACAAGTAGAAGCTCGTCCGGTTGGCTTTGGAGAGGCTAACGGCGATAGCCACTCGAGCCAGCTTGCCGGGGCTCCGTCGGACGTAGTGGGCGTAGCGGGAGAGGGAGGTATAGCAGAGATCAGGATATAATGTTGAGCTACAGCTTGTACGGATGAAATCGGTGGCATTTTTTCTGCTACATGCTGCATCGACGGATGAAATTTCCGGTAGAAGAAGTAAGGCTGTCGCCACCGCGAGAAGAGGGAGGAGGAGGTGGAGGAAGAGAGGTTTCGCTGCCATTTTTGAATTTTTTTTTTCGGTCGGAGCCGGGAGGAGTTTTCGACTGCTGGGAAGGCGGGAGGGGACTTGTCTGGAGTCTCCAGCAGCGAGTAGTAGGGCTTTATAAGTAGGCTGATTCCTTGACCTTGAGAGTTATAGGTATAGCTGCCTACAGCCGTTCACGGATCGGGTTGGTTGGTTTAGTGACGTTTTTTGAATCGATCCGATCTGATCGATTTACTTAAAAATGAAACTAAAACCGATCCACTATTAACTAAAATCGATCTGATCTGTTTGAATTAAATGATTCTCTTCATGTGAACGGTAAACTATTTAAGTCTAAAAAGACATTAGAACCCGCGCGTGCCGTGAAAAAAAAAAAAAAAGGAAAAAGGAAAGGACCGCCGCTTTTAGTGGAAGGAAGGAAGGCTACTTTTTGCGGCGAGTGCGGGTGGCCGGTGACGCGTGCAAACGAAACAATAACGGTCGGCGTAGTCCACGTAATCAACGGTTATCCATAATGATTTCACTAGTGGGTTCAACTATGATGCCGGAAATACGTAAGGTTGAAAAAAGTTACAACCACTCAACCGGCATCATAAAAGTAGAAACCAATCAAATGGATTTTCAGCAAAATTAACGCGGTAGTGATTGTTCAAAGCCTTTCTGGTAGTTTGTATTTACCGCATCATAGATTTTCCCTCCACGAGTAATTATCTGCATTATGTATGTATCTTAGTTTAGTGAAACCACTTAAATCTTGTAAGTTAATTAATTAAAAGCTTCGATAGTTAATCAGAAGGTTAATAGAGATGATGGGTCCACGTCCACAACTAACTTGTAAGTTGTAACTTATAGCTATGTATTGACCACCTTTGGATTGTGTAGGCTTTACTTGTTAAAATCATTGTTAAAAGAGTTTTTTTTTTTTTGAAAGGGATTTAGGATGCTAAAAGAGCTTTAACCAATCAAAATCAGTTAGTGATTTGCAAAATAGGGAAAATTCACAACCTACGCTTATGGGATCCCCATCAACCCATAGAGGGTGCAACTTGTGCAGGATCACATTTATATCAAAAAAATGATTTTTAATTTGAAAAAATTATAAAAATAAAAGTATTAATAATGGAATAATAATTTTAGTAATAAAAATTATGATTTTTCATATCATATTTATCTTAGAAATTTCAATAGATTTGATATATTTGAAGTTGAGATTATACAATTTTATAAATTATTAAATGATATTTCAATTTACATTTGAGGATGCAATATTTGGTTGACTTTTTTGTTAATGTAAAAAAAATTGATATAATAATTAAAATATAATAGGTGCATATATTTTGTGTTTTGTACTTTTGATTGATACATTATCAATAAAATTATATGATATTTATGTATCCTATTATATGCATTATAGTATATTTTTTCATATACACCATTAAAATATGCATTTTCTATATATTTATACATTATTTGTATCCATTTAATTTTAAATGTAGTATTATTAACGTATCTATGAAATTTATATGTAATTCTCTAGCATATTCAAGCGTTTTTATATTTTTCATCCACATCCATGTCTTTCCAAAGCGTATCTATATTCAACTTGTCCAATACCTGATACCAATACTTTAATCCTTAAGTATTTTATATATTGTACAATAACTTTTTAAATACGTATTTTTGTAATGATGAATATAAAGTTAAATTAAAATTAGGCCAGGGGTGCAGCGCAGGCTGGCCTGGGACTGTGCTAGGGCATGTAATATTAGGCCCGGGGTGTAGACCAGGTTGGGTTTGGGAAACATTAATATTGTTGATACCCTATAAAACCCCAGCCCAGGCCTAGGCCATGATCATCCTTGGTTTTCCCCATCCCCGCACTCCATGCCATTTTTATGATACCAAAATTCATTTTGTTTATTTCTTTATAATTTTTTTTTAAGAATAAAATAACTACAATTTTCAATTTTATAAAAATAAATCTAAATATATCCACACACACATATATATATATATATATATATATATATATAATCCCTATAAGTAGAGAATAGGGAGTATTCTCCTCATTCCGCCTCATCCCTACCAATGATTCAAGGTATGGGGCTTTGGAAGAAATTCTAAAATGGTGTTTCTTGAATCTAAACTTGTGAAGGATGTTTCCGCTTCCTTTGGAAAGAATAGATCCTCAAAAAGATTCTACTTTTAAACATCATCCCTCGCTTCCACTTCTCTGTAACTTGAAACACCACATTACCAAACACCATTTAAGTTGTTTTTTATTGGCTTATAAAATGCATAAAGAAGCCTCCTCTCATCATCCCAAACGCAATCTAAGCATGCAATTGCGTGCAATTGATGATTTGGCCTAGGTGATAGGTGATAGGTGATGCACCACACAACTGCAACTCTGCAACAACAATGATGATTCCATTGTTGCTGTCACGCCATGAGAGATGAGAGATGGAAACCAGGCAACGGATTTCTTGGCCGATGAAAGGAATTCTGGGCCCTGATGATCTAGTTTAGTTTCTTTTTTATTTTTTTGCAAAAGGACCCAAATTGAAGCATACTAATACAAGACAAGCAAGGGCATTCACCATGTTTTCTTGCAATTGCATGGCTCAGGAAATTTCCCTTGAGGGGCCGCTGTCCGCCTGTCCCAGTCCCACTACCTTATCATATCTTATGCATCATAATTTCTACTTTGTCTTTTGAAAATTTTTGGGCCCAAGCCTGCCCCATAGGTCCTTGCTACTGTCGGGCCCACCATCCAATCAGTCCTCTTTGTTTTCTTGATTAAGCTAAAGAAGTCTCATGTTTTTCTAGTCGTTCCTTGTGGTTAATCAAGACAATTTTCTCTTGTCCTAAACATTATTCCTAAAAATAACTACTTCTTGTTGGGAAATATCTAATCCATGCACACCATATATTTCCTTATGGTGGGGATAAGAGAGAGCCAATGTTTCATTGACACATGGCGCGGATAGATGATAGCTGTTTATTGCATGTAGGGGCGTTCTATAAGTGAACTATTTTTCTTTTTCTTTTTTGTTCTAATGTTGTTGTTGGTTTCAAAAATAAATCAAAATTAACTGGTTTGAAAACAGGTTGTTTCTCGAAACAAAAACACAAAAAAATATATATCTTTTATTGTGTATGTGTTTTTTCATCCAGATATTAATATCATATTCTATAAATCGTATAATTTCTATATTAAATTCATCTTGATTTAGATTGGTTTCAGCCCAAATCCAGTCCATTGACATATATATTCTTATTCTATATCAATGAATTAGATTTTTGACTTAATCCAACTCAATCCAATATAAATTTATTATAGATGAATCAGGTCCGATCCAATCTAATAAATATTTTGGATCGGATTGATCCAATCCAATATGTCTTATTGGTTTATCTAAATTAACACTCTTACACATAGGGCCCACTTCATCACACAGAGAGTCTGCCCTACTATGGGTTTGAAAAATTGAAGTTAGAAGTTTGAACCAATGGGGCGCACCAAAAAGGGAGGGAAGAGGGATGCCAAATGACCAAACGAACTATTGGGTCATTGATTACTGGCTAGCTACATTGTTAAAATGTGCATTGCATGTGATATTATAAAAAAGGATAAAGAACTCTATTCCAATTCCAAGAGATCGAAATCATCGGCAATGATTTAGATTTAGAGAAACAATTAAAAGTCTAGATAGAGAAATGATGTGAACTGAAAGTGAAAACCATCCTTTTACACCTCTCTTGGGCAAAGTCTAAATCTTACAACATGCTAGTCAAGGGGGCAGTTGGAGAAATCATGTCTTGGGTGATGGGTTAGTCTCAATTAATCTCAATCTCTATCTTATCATCATAATGGTGTTTATCACATTATAAGCTTATCTGTAATTGCTCAGTACCTAAAAATTAATTGTATTTCGACTTTGTTTAGTTATTAAGAGAAATGTTATATATATCCATATGAACTATAAGTCAAACGTCATATCATATAGGCCAATCTGTTTTTAATAGCTACTTAGGAGCTCAGCCTCCAACGGTCCAACCTATTGGATTAAAACTTTCTCCTCCTTTCACTGTTTCTTCTTTTCAGACTTGAATTAAAGTTTGACCTGTTGTGTTTAAATAGTTTTGAAGGAACCAATTTAAAAAAGTTGTTTATATATAACATGTCCAAAAGGAATTTTGGCAGAGGAAATTTTGAAATAATTATAGGAAATCTATTTTATTGGTCAGTTTGGGGGTGTTAAGAATAGGAGAAGTTTTAGGAGATTTCTATTCATTAATATTAACCCCATTATTCTCTTTCTTGTCTCCTTTTGGAATAGTTGATTTGATGCCAAGGCGATTTAGGCAATTACGATGCAATCTACTTCCAAAATAAAGAGCTAGCATATATATAACTTTACATGGACCCATGTTTAATCAAAACCATTTCTTTGACTTTGCTACTTTTATCTCTTCTTTTCAACAACAATCATCATTACTGCTTTCTTTGGTAGTAAATTTTAGCTGAGGTAAAATTCTACTCTACAGGATGCTGATCTCCATGATCACTCTTCTCATATACCAGAAGTCCAGCCCAATGAGCCCATTATCAGCTTAGTAGGCCTTTGGGCTATGTTTGGTGTTAGAATTGAACAACAGAAATAATGTAATCTGTACGTACATAAAAAGAAAATAAAAAGCAGATAACAATAGAGAAAGAAAAAAGAAAGAGAGAACACTAGATTTACGTGGTTCAGCCAAAATGCTTACGTCTACAGGCAGCAATTCGGAGCTTCCTTCTTACTATAAACAGGAGAAAATACAAAGATGACCTCACCGAAATCACACCCGTACCCGGTACCCAATACACCCAAACACAATACTCCTCTCAACACACTGCATACACTATACACTGAAATGAAATGGAGTATGTTTGAAATAACATAGGGGGACCCCTATTTATACTTGAGCTGAGGGGTATAATGGGGTTTTTTAAAAAAAATTCTTCAACGTTAAGTAAACAACAAAAATGGTGTACCACCATTCAATATGGTGGGCTCGGCTCGGTGGGCCACCAATTGTAAATTCGATGAGCCACCGACTGGCCCACCTTTTTTACTTTTCAACATTCTCCCACTTGAAGACAATTTTCATAGTGAAAAAACTTGCTCGAGAATATCTGCCGATCATCTCTTGCTATGTGGCTTCAAGTCCTAGAGAAGTTCTGCACTAGATGGCTTCAAGTCCTAGACGAAGCCTGCACAATCTTCTTTTACCAACACAGCATGCATCTTCAGCTTCCAAATTGCATAGTTGGATCCGTTGAATTTCGGTATGTCGAACCGGGTAGAACTCGAACTTGCCATATTCAACACGTGCAATACCGGAACAACAAATACAGATTTCGGCAGAATCCCGGAACAGAACCGTGTGGCTCTGATACCAATTGTTGGAATTGCACAGCGGAAATAATGTAATCTGTACATGCACAGAAAGAAAATAAAAAGCAGATAGCAATAGAGAAAGAAAAAAGAAAGAGAAAATACCAGATTTACGTGGTTCGGCCAAAATGCCTACGTCCAGGGGCAGCAGCTCGGAGCTTCCTTCTTACTATAAACAGGAGAAAATACAAAGATGACCTCACCGAAATCACACCCGTACCCGGTACTCAATACACCCAAACACAATATTCCTCTCAGCACACTGCATACACTATACACTGAAATGAAATAGAGTATGTTTGAAATAACATAGGGGGACCCCTATTTATACTTGAGCTGAGGGGTATAATGGGGTTTTTTTAAAAAAATTCTTCAACGTTAAATAAACAACAAAAATGGTATGCCACCGTTCGATATGGTGGGCTCAGCTCGGTGGGGCCACCGATTGTAAATTCGATGAGCCATCGACTGGCCCACCTTTTTTACTTTTCAACATTTGGCTTCAAGGAAAAAGTAGGGAAACGTAAGGAGACCTATATAACGCTTATAAAGGTTTCCCTACATTTGCCTTCATTTCTTTACTTTTTCCTTCAAACCAAACACAACCTTGGTGATCCTCCTTTTCCCGTCCATTGTCCACAAGGCTGACTTCGCTTTTGCTCCAGTGGATCACTTCCCCTCCACACTACACGTCATTTCTTTCTCTTTAATAGAAGAAATGGGCAGGTGATGCGGGAGTAGTGTGTTGTGAGTAGACGTGGGCAGGTGATGCGGAGTCACATAACCCAACCCAAGAAACAAACTTGAGTAAGAGGGATTCTTCGGCTACCATGATTACGACCCCGTGCTTTTGCCCCCTCTTGGACCAGAACGAACCGCCTTGTCCACATGGACATTCACAAGTTTCCTGCTACCAGGTAAGCCCCCGTAACCATAACTTTCATCTTCAGCTAACCATTTGTCATCCTTGCTGGGTTCTTCTTCCAACCCATACCATGAATTTTTGGGAGGTAGCCTCTGTAACTCTTCCTGCTCCAGTATTGGGCCTAGGCCCGCTCTAGAAATTTCCGGGCCAAGCTGGGCCAGACTATAAATTATTGATGACCAGCCCTAGTTTTACCATCTCTAAGTTTTATTATTTTTTAAATTTCCTAAACCTATTTTGAACTATTATTCATTCTCACCAGAAAAAAAAATCTATCTTCGAGATTTGTATTTTTTTTCCATATAGCATATAAGGTGCGAGAAAAAGGATAGAAAGAACTCCTAAACAGTTTCAAATGTCATACAAGGCCTAAGCACTGTTTTTTCGGTAATTATCTAAGACTCACTATCAGTACAACAAGCACTACTTGCTATTTAAGCACTTTTTTTTGGTAATAAATTTTATAATTTATGAATCATTTTCTATTTTGGATGTATGAAAATATAGTAAACTACTTCTTTTGGGGGGCTTAAAACTCATTATATATATAGTTAAGATTTGATTCTTTTAAGTTAAAAAAAAATTAGATTTAAAAAGGAATAACTTTTGTTCTAAAACTCATTTTTCGAATTGTGATTCTTTGGAACAGAATTATAACCAAGCCTAACCTAAATGATTCAATTGTATATATGGGCTTAGCTGAAGGAGGACAACATCACCAACATGATTCAATGGCTCTCCATAACTAGAAATTTTAAACTTGCTTTAACCAGTATTATTATTTTATTATCATACTGGAATGTCTACTTGACCTACCAAGTCAATGGAATGCATTCAATAGATGGTGGTAGGTGAAATCTTTATCTTAAAACAAAAGGTTTTCTTTTGAAAAAATATAATGCAAATTCTACAATGCAGAGAGTAGTTTAAATGAAAGCATGAACCCCATTTTTTGGTTAAATAAAAGCACTATAAGGTGTAAATGTTTAAACGAAAATTCTACACAGACATGTTGCAGTTTATATATATATATATATATATATATATATATATAGTGTTCTTGGGGTGCAATATTTGTAGCCTGAGCATGCGTGATTTGCAGCACATAAGTGCTTTCAAGATTTGTACTGTAAAAATGTGCGACAATAAGCAACATTTGATAATTAATGTGATTAATTAATTATTCGTAAGGAATCGATCATTAATTTTCATGGAGTTGTTGAGCTTTTGAATAATTCTATACATTTCGATCATTATCTTCATAGATGTTAGGGTTGCATACTTGCACTTACGTTAGCCGATGTTCATACATTCAAACAAGTAATCGGACATAAAATCTCTCTCTCTCTCTCTTATACACAATCAAACCTTGCAACAGCTGATCAACAGGAACTGCCTCAAGTTACTTTCTCCAACACCCAACATTCAAAATCTAATTAACTAATGGGTTTGAAATCTTAATAACAGGTTTTTGATAACTTTTGTTCTCCCGTGCATTACATTCGGCCAGATTGCAGAGATTGTGGACCAAGGAGCCAATTGTGAGTACTGGTATTTGATTTTTAATTATTCTTACTACATATATTCTGTGATTATCAAACTGATGCAATAAAGAGGTGTAGGTGTTGGTTTGGGCTCTTTCTGATTCATGCAGCCTGTCGATTACATGCTGCTCTGACTGCATTGTGTCATGATGTGTGTATGTATATTATAACATATATAATTTGCCCCATCAATATAACACCTCTCTCTCTCTCTGCAAAGAAATCGAGATATCATTTATTCCAAACCTAAACATGTTTTCTAAGACTTGGGTAGTGGGTTGAGTTCGTCAGAGATTTTTCTATGGGGCCGGCTGGGCTTAGTGGGCTGTATGTTCATCATGTAAAGTTCGGGGTGGGTGGCTGGTTTGCACGATTTTCTGTATCCTTTTTTTCCTTTGTTAATATTTTTTTTTCTTTATTACCCAAACAAACAAACAAACAAAAAAAAAAGAAGAAAATGTTAGAAACTGAATTTTACATAAAACCCTAGGTTCAATTAAATTTAAAAGCCATATAATTAGTTAATTCCATGCAATAGAGTTTATTTTCATAACAAAACAAAGGTTTTTTTAGATATTTTCCTAAAAAGACATTTGTTTTTTCAAAAATCTCTTCTTTGTAACCCAACAAGTTCCATTTGTCTCAGACATATACTATATAATCAGCAATTAACTACATTCTCAACATTATTCACTTGAAGCTGATAAATGGACCAATTTATTGGAAATAATAATGTAGATCCTAGAGAGCACCATGGTACTTGGACTTGTAGTCGTTCCATAGCTGGTCTACAGTCTTGCCAAGGAGGTCGACGAAGAAATGGTCACTGTAATTAGTTTTCATCATAGCATTCAATTTGGCCACAAACCCATTAGAGAGAGTGTTGCAATACTCCAAGAAGCGGGCTGTCACACTGTAGCCTTCATCCCACTTTTGTCCATCTCCTGGTTTGGCCCATTGTGGTGCAGCATACCCGGCTGCGAACCTTACATAATCTCCAATTCCTTCAACCAAACCCGGTGGGGTTTGTCCATTGCCATTCCATTGCCACACGTGTGTCATCTCATGGTAGATTATCCCGATGAACATCGTCTTCAAATCTCCCTCATACTTGGCAATGAAGTCTTCGCTCAAATGAATCTCATTGTTAAATTCATAGGCCAATGCCACGTCCATCACCTCTACAATCAGGGTCACCTTCTCCACATTCTTTCTATCCGCCTCCGATTGCTGCAACGTTTTCCAGATGAATTCAGACGCAGATGTCATTGTGCTTATACTTAGTTGCGTATCGATCTCTCTAGCAAATCGATCCCCACCTGGTGTTCCCACAGCCTTATTCATTACTGCATATTGAACACCAGCATGTGTTCTTTGGAGGGATGCTAGAATCAACAAGGATGATAGGAAGAAGAACAACATTTGAGACATGGGGAATGTTGAAAAATACTTATGCTATTACCAGACACAACACCCTTTTGTTTTGCAAAATAGAAAGAACGAAAAAAAAAAAAAAACAAATCAACTCTATGGAATTTTCATTACAATAGATCACATATAAATAGACAACTTGAGATGATTCAAAACACAAGCACTTATTGACAACGGTTAAGGCATTTATAACTCAAATTTAATTTGCTTCTTATTTGAAATTTTAATGCATTCACATTAATTATAGCTGTTGGACAATTAAATTTTAAGATTTCTTGCCTTTCTTGTTACCTGAATCAATATTACAAGAAAAACGACCTTAGTGGATAAAACTGTAACTCAAAGGCAAAAAAGAAACATTGGGGTGAGCTGCATATACATTTGATAGGATTACTAAGGCTGTGTTTGGAAACGATGCAAATAAGTGCGAATGTAAATATGTAGAGTGTAAAGTGGTTCATATAAATTGTAAAATTGGATTAGTTTTGCACTCACAAATTTACTTCTTACCAAACAGACTTTTAGCTGTAATGAAAGCAAACATGAATTCCAATAAAGTATATGTTTTTTTTTTAATCAAAACCCCACTTGAATGCAAATTTACTTCTTTTTTATTAATGTATTTTTACATCTTATTATCAATGTAAATATGCATTGGTCTGTCATTTGTCAATGCATAAATGTAATGTTACCAAACACATGCAAAAGTGAACCAAAATGTAAATTTACCCTGATCCGGGATTTACACTCCATTTGCATGGTTTCCTAACGCAGCCTAAGGAGAAAAATATTTTTAATCTAATAATAGGATTTATTTATATACATTTGATTGTGCATGTACATGTGTATGTGGTGCCTACTGAGATGCATATTCATGCTTACACTTGGCATTTGGTTTGCACAAAAGGCAATAAAAGTGTAATTTGAACTTCAAGTGTGAGTGAGGTCACATTGAACTCCTTCTAGATGGCATGGGTCTTAATTAGCTTCTGGTGGAATTTTAGGAATCCTGATTTTGTCCTCACAATATATTATTTGCTACTAACATTATTATTACATAGTATTATATAATATATATTATAGTTTTTTACTATGTATATATTATTATTAAGTCGGACTTGGGCTGGGGCTCGACTTATTTAGGAAAGCCCAAGCCTGTAGGCTTAAAAGTTTGTCTAAATCTAACATAGAGCGAGCTAGGATGGGCCAACTCGTTGAGCTGCCCAACTCATGATCAGGTCTATTACATGGGGAAGAATCATCCTTAATCTCTCCACTAGAATTTTAGCAAAATTTTTATGGTAAAATCCACTAGCACTAAATAGGCCTGAATTCAGTAAATTGCCTAGGAATTTCACATTTATGGATAAGGACAGTGAAAGTTGAAGTATAATCAGGAACGACTTCATAATAAAAATTTATCTGATTACTTTGCAAACATCTCCCCCAATTATATTCCAGCAATGAGCGAAGAAAAGGCCATCAAAAACTAGGGGTGCCCACAGCAATAATCGAACCGTGGGAATTTTTTGAAATCAAACTAGTACTACCGGTTTTTAGAAAACCGGTAATTAGAATTGAACCAAAGCCAGTTAGTTAATTGGTTGACCAGTTTGATTAACCGTTAGTTTTTCGGTTTTTTTAGTTTTTACAATATATATTATAAAAATATATAATAAAAATTTATAAATATATTATAAATATGTATATTTATATACATATATATAATGCATATTTATTCATTTATAATATAAAAATATATGTATACCGATCGGTTCGATTAACCACCAGTTTTCTATATTGGTTAACCGAAACTGAAGCGGTACCTTCGGTTTTCTAAAAATACTGAACCAAAACCAAACCAACCAATTTGATTAACTAATTTTTTGGTTTTTTTGCTCACCCCTAATCAAAACCATTCATTCCTATAGATAAGGCCACCTTTTTTCATTGTCCTCCTCAGTAATTAAATGAGGAATACATTGTCACGAAGTATGATGCATTAGCATCCAAAAGACAATAAAACTCTCAATAAAATTTTGAATCACACTATAAAATTACAGGAAAAATCTATGATGCATAAAATGTATGGTATGGAAAGAGTTTTGACCAATCAAAATCCACCCATGAATTTTGATAAATAATACCATGTTCCCTATGATGTTTATGTTTCTGGTTTATTAGACAGTTGTTTTTTGGATATCGTATCTTTTCCATATCATAGTCGAGCCAAAATTACAACACCTGATCCTATCGAGCTCTTTCTTCCCATCACAAACCAAGTCAAATATTGCATGGACAACCATGGGATTTGCTATGTGATCAATCGTGAGTGAATACGCTAGTGTTCTGCACAGCCAGGTATGCACACTTATATTCACACCAGATCCAGACTCACATAGACGGGGCGGCCACCTATGAAAGATGGTGTAATGAATCATAGGCGTCTGGAAAAAAATGACACTAATGTGTGCAAGGGAGCATTTTGGGCTATGGGCTACCATAATGTTTCTAAACACACCACTAATGGCCCAAATATGAAAATTCCTACCTCTAACTCTCCATGTCAAGTTGAAGATAATGGAGGCTCAGAGGCCCCATATATTTTTATGTCTTAGGCCCTAATCGTTTCCCGGATTCTCTAGGGGAAAAAAGTCGGTTGATAGGATTGTGATTTTCATTGATTGATTTTTTCATGTTCATTTCACGGGTTAATGTGAAACTCACAAAAAAAAGTTATTTTTATTGAATATCACTTATCTGGGCAAGTGATACCTATCTCCCAAGTGGAAAAATAACTTTCTTGCCCGATGGTAAAATTGTCAACACTTAATGGGATAACATTGTCCCTTCTAGTTCTCTCCTTTTCAGGATAAAATAGCCATTGTCTCACTTGATGGGACAATAAATAAGCATAGATAAATTCACTTACCTAGGAATGAGTAAATGAATTTACCTGCGTAACTGATCAAAGAGAAAATGAACGAGGCCTTGAGGAGATCCTTCTTAGGAGATTGTAAATGGCTATAGTATGAAAATTTCTCTGAAAATTAATTAATCAAACTCTCCATCCAATACAAAGATGAACACTAGAAAAGTGATTGAAAATCAGATTTTTTGGGATCAATCTCATGACAACTTTTAATATCTAGTGCTTTCAAATTAGACTAATGCTGGCAATTTAGAATAATAAGATAAAGGATAAGTTACAAAGACACCCCCCTACTATGGGGCCAATGACAAATACCCCCTTGTTTTAGAGTTTTATCAATTAAATTTGAAAAAGATTTGCATTCAGCTATTAGAAAAATTTGAATCCACAAATTACCTTTTTCTTATTTATTTAAATGATTTATGAGTCAATTAGTTTTCTGAATATAACATTGAAATTCTCTCAATTTCTCCAATAGATCCTTGCAAATTTTTGGCTAGATTTAATATTCAAATGAAATCGTAGAGGTTTCATTCTCATGGATATAAATTTATGCATTGTTTGGTTTTTCTTGATTTATTGGAGAAAGGAGTGGACAATTTTTATATTTTTAAGACGAAGAGAGACACTTGTGTCAATGGCATGAATCAAGAATTAAAAAAAAAAAAAAAAACTTTCTTCTTTTGATGCCAGTGAATTGATTCTTGTTATTTTAACTGGTTTAGAGAAAATGGAGGTATTTTTGTCAATTAGGGTTAAGAGAAAAAGGGCGAGGAAAAAGAAAACAAAGAAAGTTCTGATAGGCATTTTGGTAATATAATACGTGAGTGGGTATTTTGTTGCAAAATGAAAGTTCAAGGGGGTCCAGATGAATTCAGACGCAGATTTCATTATGCTTATACTTGGTTGTGTACCGATCTCTCTAGCAAATTGAACATCAGCATGTGTTCTTTGGAGGGATATATGCTAGAATCAACAAGGACGATAGGAAGAAGAACAGCATTTGAGACATGGGGAATGTTGGGGGCAAAGAAATACTTATGCTACTACCAGACACAACACCCTTTTGTTTTGTAAAATAGAAAGAGAAAAGAAGAAAAAAAAAAATCAAATCTATGGAATTTTCATTACAAGATCACATATAAGCTAGTAGACAACCTGAGATGATTCAAAACACAAGCACTTATTGAGAATGATTAAGGCATTTATAAATCAAATTTGATTTGCTTCTTATTTGAAAATTTAATGCATTCGCATTAGTTATAGCTGTTGGACAATTAAATTTCAAGATTTCTCGCCTTTCTTGTTACCTGAATCAATATTACAAGAAAAACGACCTTATTAGTGGAAAAAACTGTAACTGAAAGGCAATAAAAGAAACATTGGGGTGGGGTGATGATCTTAACTCTGAATTTTATCATATACCAGCACAACTCCTTTTGTGCCACATTAATAAGGAGAAAAATATTTTTAATCTAATAATAGGATTTATTTATATACATTTGATTGTGCATGTACATGTGTATGTGGTGCCTAGTGAGCTGCATATTCATGCTTACACTTGGCATATGGTTTGCACAAAAGGCAATAAAAGTGTAATTTGAACTTCAAGTGTGAATGAGGTTACATTGAACTCATGATTTTGTCCTCACAAATTTGGTTCTCATGCCGTTTTTACAATATTTTCAGCCGTGAGTTAGGAATATCTGAAAACAGAGATGTCCCCAATGCATGGCTGCAAGCATTTTGGTTTGGGCCTCTGGTTTCGGTCCGCATATCATGGGTGAGGGTAACTGTTTCAGCCCACCATTTTAGCACATGGTTTTGGCCAATAGTTTGCAGACCTACATGGAACTGTGGAGTTTTGTCCTCTACACCATCTCAATCTTGTTTTTGCTTTTTGGCTGCTTTCTCTTGTATCTTATATTCTTTTTGAATAAAAGTTTTATTTATCTTCAGGAAAAAAATAAATTAAGGCCTTGCTTTTATTATTATTATTATTATTATTATTTTTATTGAATTAAAGGCCTGTTTGTCTGGGTTTAGAGAGGGGACAGAATAAAATGTTCTTTTTTCACAATAACAGGCGAGATTTCTGTTAAAGTAAAAACAGAAAGGGAGGTGGAGGTTTGTATGGTTGTCAGAAAACTCTACCAGATTTTCCAAATATGAGTGTGTCATAGGCAAAAAGGCTATAAGATAAAAGCATGGTACCTCTCGGCAGTCGGCATTTTGTAATAGTCAATATAGCTATTGTTGAAAATTGTAGAAAGGCATCTGGTTAAGACTTCCTCGGAAATGATAAATATGCTTGGAGAGACTTGAACCAAATCTCCATTACTTACTTAAGACAGAAAACCAATAGTTATTAACTTAACCGGCTAAATCCAGAAGCATTGTTAAGAGGACATTCCATTTGGTCCTATTATAGGTTCTAGTTATATCTAATTTGAGAGTAGCATTACCTCACCTGGATTTCTTATTTAACTCACAGGCCATTTACTAAACAATGGAAATATTGTCACCAATATATTATTGCCTCTCATTAAATGCACTTTACTCCATAGATATTATACGGTAGACCTGTTTATAAATACAAAATGACTAAGCCCGAGTCGAAATCGGCCTGAGTCTGACCCTATATAGAGTAGAGTCCCAAGCCTGAAATTCAAATTGGACCGCTACTTTATAATATATTAGCTATATGTTATTAATAATATATTATATAATATATAGAACATTTTATAATATATTTTTTGCTACTAATATTATATATATATATATATATTATATTTTTTATTATATATATACTATTATCAAGTCGGACTTGGGCTCAGGCCTGACTTATTTGAGAAAGCCCAAGCCTGTAGGCTTAAAAGTTTGTCCAAATCCAATATAGAACAAGCTAGGATGGGCCAGCTCGTCGAGCTACCCAACTCATGAGCAGGCTTATTACATGGGGAAGAATTAGACCTGGCAATTGGGTTGTGTGGGTCGGGTTCAGGTACTTCAGGTTGATTTCGGGTTGGGTTGTCAATGCTAGACCCTAACCCTAAATGTTCGGCTTAGGGTTGACCCATGGGTCAATTCGAGTCATCCCAAAAAATAATTGAAATTTAAAAAAATAAAGAAAAATTACATGAAAAATGTCAAAATTAAAATAATTAACCTTAAAGTTTCAAATATAAAATAAAAAACTTGAACATTTAACAGTTTAAAGAATAAACAATAAAAAGTAAAGACTAAATAGAAAAAATTAAAGAGTGGAAACTTCTAACAATGCATAAATAATCTCAATTATATTTGACAATCAGGTCAGCGGATTGACCCATGACCCAATTCAACCCAGTTTTTTTTTTCGGATTGAATTGGGTCGGATCATTTTTGCATTCGGATATCTAAATATGAGACCTTAATCCTGTTTTTTCGGATTGGGTTAAGGCCACCTTCATGTCAAATACGGTGCGGTCATACTTTCATTGTAAGTAAATGAGGAATATATTGTCACGAAATATGTTGCATTAGCATCCAAAATACAATAAAACTCTCAATAAAATTTTGAATCACACCATAAAATTACAACAGCTGAGCTCTTACTTCCCATCACAATCCAAGTCAAGCATTTCATAGACAACCATCGGATTTGCTATGAAGAACTTAGCTGTGTGACAATCATGATGAGTGAATACGCTACTGTTCTGTACAGCCAGGTTTGAATACTTGCATTCACACACCAGGTTCACACTCGCATAAACGGGGCGGCCGCCTGTGAAAGATGGTGCAATGAATCATAGGCATCTGAAAGAAATAGACTCTGATGTGTGCAAGGGATCGTTTTGGACTATGGGCTACCATAGTGTATCTAAACACACCACCAATGGCCCAATTATGAAAATTCCTACCTCTAATTCTCCATGCCAAGTTGAAGATAATGGTGGCTCAGAGGCCGATATATTTTTATGTCTTAGGCCCTATTTGTTTCCCCGATTCTGAGGGGAAAAGCCCATCAATAGGATTATGGTTTCTATTGGCTGATTTTCTCATATTCATTTCGTGGGTTTATTCATGTGGGACTCACAAAAAAGTTTTTTTTCTTAACTATCATTTATTCGGAAATGTGATACTCATCTCCCAAGTGGGTAATTAACTTTTCCCATTCAAAGAAAAAGTTGTTAACACTTGATGGGACACTAGTGTCCCTTCTAGTTCTTTCTTTTTCATGATAAAATAGCCATTGTCTCACTTGATGGGACAATAAATAAACAAGATAAATTCACTTACCTAGGATATACTTACCCAAGTAAGTGAATTTATTTGGGCAAATGGTTGAAGAGAAAATGAACAAGCCTTAAGGAGATCCTTTCCATGAGATTGTAAATGGCTACAGTATGAAAATTAATAAATCAAACTCTCCATTCAACACAAAGATGAACAATAGAAAAATGATTGAAAATCAGTTTTTTTGGGATCAATCTCATGACAACTTTTAATATCTAGTGCTTTCAAATTAGACTAATGTTAGCATTTTAGAATAATAAGAAAGGATAAATTACAAAGACTCCCCCCCTGTATTTGTGACAAAGACCCTTTTGAACTTTCAGTTTCTGACAAATACCCCTTATTTTAGAGTTTTATCAATTAAGTTTGAAAAAATTTCTCATTCAGCTATTAAAAAGAAATTGGATCATCAAATTACCGTTTTCTTATTTATTTAAATGATTTATGAATTAATTAGTTTTCTGAATATAACATTGAAATTCTCTAATTTCTCCAATAAATCATTACAGATTTTTGGCTAGATTCAATATTAAAATGAAATGGTAGAAATTTCATTCTCATGGATATAAATTTATGCTTTGTTTGGTTTTTCTTGATTTATTTGGAGAAAGGAGTAGACAATTTTTATATTTTTAAGATGAAGATAGACACTTGTGGCAGTGACTTGAATCAAGAATTAAATAAAAAAAAAAACCTTTCTTTTTTCTATGCTGATGAAATGATTCTTGTTATTTTAACTGGTTTGGAGAAAATAGAGGTATTTTTGTCAATTAGGGTTTAAAAGAAAAAGGGTGATCAGGAAAAGAAAATAAGGAAAGTTCTGATAGGCATTTTGGTAATATAACACATTCCGTCATCTAACTTATCGGTAAGAGGGTATTTTGTCACAAAACAAAAGTTCAAGGGGGTTTTTGTCACGGACCCATAGTAAAGGGGGGTCTTTATAATTTACCCTAAGATAATTAAAAATATCTCTAAATCACAAAAAAAAGGAAAAACTATATCAGCATTTGCATGAAACTTTTGTAACCCAACAACTTCAATTTATCTTATATATATATATTATTCATTTATTAATTCAAATTGATAAAGGGTAATTAAATGCATGCTGATCGATCAATGTATTAATTCCAACCTATATATCCTAGTGACCACCGCTGTACTTGGACTTGTAGTCGTTCCAAAGCTGGTCTACAGTCTTCCCAAGAAGCTCCACAAATAAATGGTCACTGTAACCATTTTTCATCTTAGCATTCAATTTGGCCACAAACCCATCTGAAAGACTGTTGCAATACTCTAAGAAACGGGCAGTCACACTGTATCCTTCATCCCACTTGTCTCCCTGCCCTGGTTTGGCCCAGTCTGGTGCAGGATACCCAGCCACATACCTCACATAATCTGCTATTCCTTCGATTAAACCCCCTGGGGCTCCTTCGCCATACCATTGCCACAGGTGTGTCATCTCATGGTAGATTATCCCGATGAACATCGTCTTTAGATCACCATCATACTTGGCTATGAAGTCTTCGCTCAAATGAATCGCACCATCTATAGCATATGCCAACGCCACGTCTGTGACCTCTACGATCAGGGTCACCTTTTCTATATCCTTTCTATCAGCCTTTGAGGTTTCCTCGAAGGTTTTCCATATGAACTTAGTCGCAGATGACATTGCTCTTACACTTAGTTGTGTACCAATCTCTTTAGCAAATCGGTCCCCTCCTGCTGTTCCCACTGCCTTGTTCTCTACTGCATATTGAACACCATCAGCTTGTGTTCTTTGGACGACAGATGCTACAACCAACAAGGAAGATAGGAATAACAACAACTGAGACATGGGACCAGACACAACGAAGATGATCAATTAACTTTATGGGATTTTTACTACTCCTTGATTTCATGACCTGAACCATTACAAGCATCACATATAAATACACAACCTGGGACGACGATTCATTATACAACCACCTTTTCATAATAACTAAAGCATTTATAACTATAACCTTGTTTCTTGTCTTAACATTTAACACATTAATTCACATGTTTCTATACTTTTCAGTTGTTACTTGAAAAGGTATAGACCCTTTAATTTGTTTGAAAATAATCCTTCTTTGAAGCTGGACATAACAGCCTGGGTTGTTTCAATTGAAAGCTTCATGTGCGTGACGCATTAGCATAGGTATGGGATAAAAGACTAATTGCAATTAATATTCTTTTAATTAGAAAGGCAAACAAAAAACTAAGTTGGGTAGTGTCTCATGTCAAAGAACTTTTCTCCATTAATTTCAATTTGAAGAGTATCAAACATTCCCTAAACTATAATACTTTTTTTCACTTTTGTCCCGCATTAATGAGGAGAATAAGATTTTTAAGCTTAGAAGTAGGAATTCTTCAATTACATACATTTGATTGTGGAAGTAGGCGTGTATGTGATGCATAGTGAGCTTTATGATCATGGTTACATTTGGCATTGGATTTAGACAAAAGGCACAAAAGTGTATATTGCTGTTAGCAAGGTTCAAAATATGCGAATTGATACCTTTTTTTTTTTCAAAACCGGTTCAGGGGGCTAGTTTAGAGCTCCTCCACCCCCTGAACCGGTCAGAACCCCGATACACCCACTGTAGGGGTGTATCGGAGGGGCCCCTGAATGATATGCATTAGTTGATATGGGTCGATATGTTTGACTGTTAGATACCTCATCTAATAGTTTAAGGTTTTAGGTTGAACAATTCCTTTAAATGATATTTGAGCCTATTTGACCTTGGGAATAGCTTCTTCCACATGACCCGTTATTATGAGTGTGGGGTGAAACAGTAATTGACCTCAATATTCTTTTACCAAGAAGACCAGCAAAGGAATAAATATGATGACATGCTATGTAGGAGAAGCTCCAACAGCCAATGTTTTCTAATTTTAGAGTAACCAAACACATCGTAAATTGTCCATCCCCTTTTGATTGCTTTTATTTATTTGTACTTGAAATGCAATGAAAAGATTTAAGAGTGGCCTTCACCTGTGGAAGGTCACAATGGACGATGCATTAGTGTCCATTGTCCAAAACAACAATAAAACCCTCGAGATTATATTTTTCCTGTGAATTGTGAAGGATTGTGCCAACGATTAGGCATCTAGCAAAAATTGACATTAACGTGTGAGTGGGCCAATTGATTTTTTTCCTCACTTTCTTATAAATTATTTCAAGAATAGAAAAAGTTTAAGGCTGGTCATATAATGTTTTTCTGCGTGAACCCTTGAAGTTTTGGAGACCCATATCTTTCTACATGCATTATAGTGGTTGGTTGTTAGACGGCCAGTTTGTCCAAACAGGACAATAAGGGGGCATTCGTTTTTGGGATTTTGGAAGGGGGAAAGTTGGTCAATGTGATTCACAATCCTGTTGATTAGGAAATTTATGTTTTTTTTTTTTTTTAATTTATGTAAGGACCGGGAAAAGTTTATTTTCCTGGGTATCACTTACCCATCTCTTAGGTGGATAAATTAATTAACTTTTTCATTTAGGGGAAAATTGTTAATACTTAGATGGGACAAAAATACCCCTTTTGATAATGAAATATAATGGTTAAAATGGTCATTATATTATTTACTTGGAAAATAAAAGAATATGGGTAAATGTACTTACATGGATAAATGTTTCCCAAGAAACACTACCTGAATAAGTACATTTACTTGGATAATTAACTTACCAAAAAGTGAATGGGGCCTAAAGCTTAGTTTGGAAGCAGTACAAATGCAAATATGTACAGCGTAAATACATACAAAATATAAGGTTTTGCACTCTACATATTCATATTTTTGGCTGCCCATGTGTGAGGCCCAAACAAACAACCTATAATTTATGCTTGTTGAAATATAGGATTGTTTATCAAATTGAACAATCTGATTCAATTTAACACAATTCAATCCAACTTGGTTGGTTTTCTAATTAATTTGGTTCAGTCATTATATTAATCTGAGAGGCTAGGCTGATTTCGGTTTGGCTATTTGTAAATCAATTAAAACTGACTTTACCCGACCATGGATACATTATTAATATTTTATATTTTAAATTTATATTTTTAATATGAGAAAATAGGAAAATTCTCATATTTCCTATAGTTTAAGATATTTTATATTATAAATTTTATTTGTTAATACCATTATAAACCAAAAACCAACATAAACCAATACAAGCTGAATTAAATAATTTTCACCATTAATCAATTGATTTTGGATAACCAATTCCCCAACCTGATTATTTTGATTTAATTTGTCAATAAACAGTCTAAAACCAAACCAAACCGACCAGTCAAGGCAACCCTCAATCAGCCAATTGAATGAAATATATCCGCTTCAGCTTCTTTGAATAACTTATCGGAAACACCTTGCTTAGATCTAAGTATAGCTAAAATATGAATTGCTCTCTTGGACCTAGCTCAATTACCAGTATAGCACCAACCTGAACTAATTACACGTCCCTAACTTTTGTCTTTAATGCCAGTTCTTGTATGGATCAGAAATTTCCATACAAAGATCATGTGGTAAAACGAAGCTGACATGAGGCTGAGGTTAATGTTGACTTTTTCCCTTTAGCACCTCCCTTTTTTTCTTAATTCAGATAATCAATGGGTTACTTTGACCTTAAATTTTAATTATGAAAAGTTCAATTAGACACGCCTCTAACCTAATCATCCGGTGTCTGATATTCTATACAGAGTTCACTTTGCAGCAACACGTGTCCCAAGGAAAAACAATAAAAAAACATATAATTTGCTTATATGTTTATAATATAAACAATATCTTTCTTTTTCAATTAGAACCCATTTATTTAAAGGAAAAGAAATCAACAATTAAATATTAATATTTCAATGCAGGCAATTCAAAGCAAATATCGACTTTAGACAATATATATATATATATATAATATAAATTAAATATTAATTATATATTTTGGATTTAATTTCTATGACTTGCATAGAACCTAATGGATAAACATGTAACTAATCCATTCGGTGTGGAGTTGGTTGTAAGACACCTTCTGTATTCAGGAGACAGGTTTAAATCATGATTTTAGAAATCAGATCAGAAATGGGACCGCTTTGATCACTACCTTTTAGGTCAAACGGTCCAACCATCCAATCCAAATCCTAGTAAGATGGTTTTGGATTTCAAAATTGGACTCGGAGTAGGGGTGATCATAGGCCAGGGCCAGGCCAGGTTTTGCACTTATAATAAGGGTTATAGCTTAGGCTCAGGCCTGGCCTGGCCCGGGGTTTCGGGCCTAAAACATAAACCTTAGCCCAAGTCTATACGAGTATGGGCCGGGTTGGGTCTGATTTTGGGCCAATGTCTTTTATATATAAAATATTACATATCTATAACATTTTATATTAAATGACATAATATTCATATAAATTTATTTTATATATTATATAATATAAATTATACATGACATGTTATAATAATTATATATAAAACATATAATGTAATGTAAACTAACATGTATACATATGTATACATTATATACAAAATATGTAAATTTAAATATATGCGGACCAGATTTAAAATATTAAGCCTAAGCTCAACCCTAAAATTTACAGGCCTGATATAAACCCTGGCCTGGACCAAGCCTGAACACAAAACTTAGGCCCAAACTCAGAATTTCGAGGCTGGGCTGAAATAATCACCTCTAATCCAGAGTCATGACCGTTTCTGGGTCAATCAATCTGACTGTAAGTTCCTGTTTTCAAAACCATGGTTTAAATGAGACCCTTCACAGATGTGCACCAGTTCCCCAAAAGGAAGTCCTCGAAAAAAATTAAATTCATCGCTTTCTTCTTGTATTAGAATAATTGGATTAAATCATAAAAAAGAAGAATAATTGGGTTTAGACTTTTAGAGGGTGAGAGATAAGTGGGAACACAAAAGTTAAGGTAATTAATATGCATACGAGGTCCACCAAATCACCAATCATATCACGTAGAGTCTATGGATATTCACGAAGAGTTTGAATCTATGCCTCCACTGTGGTTGACCACGCGTATCAGCAGAAACAGCCAACCTAGCACAACCCAATTTACACCTCAACTTGAACCCGCCCAATACTAGGGACGAGGCAAGGAAATTCGAGGTTTCTCCATCGTTGATGAGAAGTGGGGTGCCTTGCCCTTGAACTCGCCCAACATTGAGGAGTGGTTACCTTGCCCTGAACCCGCATCACACTGGGGACGGGGCGGGGATGGGGTAAAGTGTCTTGACTATGGGGCAGGGAAAGGGATGTATGTGGTGCCCTGCTCTGAACCCACCCCGTTGTCATTCCTATATAATTGTTAACTGTTGGTGAAATTAATAAAAAATTTAGTTTTTATAATTATTTTTATTTATTTAAAGTTAATTTCATTTAAAAATAATAAAAAGAGTAATAAATATTAAAATTACTACAAATTATTAATAAAACTAAATTTATTAAAAAAATTTGTCCATATTCAATTAACAATAATTATTTTTATAAATCAACATTAAATGAAAAATAAAATTATTAAACCTTTCAGATTTTCCGGTGCATCGCACAAGTCCCTGCTAGTAATAACTTAAAAAATGACATTACTTATAGAGGGAAAACACTATTTGGGTTTTTGTTCTTTTTTGTCTACTTTTAGTTGTCTTTTAGTTATCATCTAATGCCCAAAATACCTCTACTCCTTTCATTCATTTGAAAAATTCTGTTTTTTGTTTTTCCATTTTCAATTGCCCAAATCATAGCTCAATTAATCTAATAGTCTACCCCCTCTTGTATGTTCTTTTATCCTTATTGCTGTGTTTGGTTTCAATGCAAATAATTTTACATTGATGCCAGTGCAAATGGTTTGATTGTAAATTCTTATCTATTTTTGTTTCGAATTTTAGTTTATTTTGTTTGATTGCAGTAAAAATTAAGTCAATTAAGACATGGAGTAGAATAAATTAAAATCCAAAAAAAAAATTAAATGAGAATTTGCATTTTCTTCATTTGCACTTCTATGCAATTGTATTAATGCAAATAAATTTATACTGCAACCAAACACAGCTTATAGGGGTCAATATGGAAAAATGGGCTGAAATAATACATATACTTCATGCTTTTTTTTTTTTTTTGAGTTTGTAGTTGGAATCGGAATCAAAATATTTTGGAATTGGAATGGTCAATTCCCATTTTCTGTTTGGTTCAGATTGGAATGAGAATTGAATTCAATTGAAAAAGGAAGGGGAGGAAATGACTATTCACTCATGGGCCGGGAAATGCTATTCCACGAAAAATGGAAATGGAATTCAGATTCCACCCAATCAAACAGTTGGAATCGAAATGAGCCATTTTGATTCTAATTCCAAACCCCTATAGCTGTGAATTAAATGGAACTCAAATTGATTACGAACCACTGGGGATGTTTAACAAAATGAAAATGCAAATTATAGAGTATGTTTCAAAACTATAGGAAGCGTTTTAGTAAATGACCATTTATCAGAGAACGACCCAGGTGGGCTGAACGGTCATTCTCCCTTTAATTTTCTGGAATTCTGATTGTATTTGAATTAGAGTTAATTGAATTTCGAACCCGATGGTGGGGAGCAGGTAAGAATTGGATAACTGAAACCTTAACAGAGCTCACCAACTGACCTTACACATTGCCAAAAGCTATGTTTCCTTGGATGTTGAAGAAGTCCACCTCCAATTAATGGTGTTCAAAAGCTTATTAATTCTTTGTTCTCTTTTTCACTAAATTTTATTTATTAATAATCTATAATTATATCCCTTTACGTACGTACTTACCAATTTTTAATATTATTTCATTACTTCTTTCACCAGTGTTTCGTTATTTAACTTGAATCCTTGAAAAGAAATTCAACTAGACCGGCTCATATGAGATTTGATTTGTACATCCATATATATCCAAGAGCAACATGAACTCCGAAAGCAATTGAGCTTTCCTATCTCATATCATCAGCCCTCTCTCTGTCTCTCGGAAACATGTATCCATCTAACGCAGGTAATTACACGGCAGCAGAACCACCCAAGTTCTCATCATCTCCTATGGCCACGGCATCATTGTCGGCTCCTCAGTTCAGTCAACCCACACCCATCGGCGTCCCGATGGATATGCCGCCACCGGCCTTTCCAACTCAAACTCAACGGCAGGTCCCTTGGTCCACCGGCCTCTGCGACTGCTGTGACGACGTTCCGCTTTGTATGTGTTAATATTTCTGGTTTTTCCTTCTCGCTGTAGATCTTCTTTTGTGTTCACTTGCCAAAGTTTGATGGATGGCTGTGTACCCTCTTCACAGGTTGCATTACTTGTTGGTGCCCATGCATTACGTTCGCTCAGATATCTGAGATCATTGATAAAGGAACATCGTGTAAGTTGTACTTAATTTCAAAACTGTGAGTTTATATGCTTCCATTTTTGTGGGTTTCGGGGAATAATTGAAGAAAATTTGGTTGTTTGTTTTGAATGTGAGGGGAGTGCAGCCTGTGGAATGAACGGAGCAATCTACACCATCATCGCTTACTTCACCGGCTGTGCTTGCCTCTACTCCTGCTTCTATCGGACGAAGCTGAGGCACCAATACTCCTTACAGGAGAGCCCGTGTGGTGATTGCTTCGTCCATTTCTGTTGCGAGTCGTGTGCCTTGTGTCAAGAATACAGAGAGCTCAAATCTCGTGGTTTCAACATGGCCATAGGTTTAATTTCTTTCTTCTTCAGTCCCCCTTATCTATTTATCTATCAATCTGTCTATGTGATGTTAGCTAGCTAGTTAATATCTAATTGATCCTGGTTCACTGAGTTTCTAGGATGGCATGCTAACGTGGAACAACAAAACCATGGAGTAGCGATGGCTCCAGTTGTGCAAGGAAGCATGACTCGATAGAGTGGAAGGATCTACTTAATTATTATGGTGCTACTATTCCTCCGTATCTATATAGCTAATATGTATTTATATATGATATGGTACTATTACTCTTCTTCTTCTTCTTCTTCTTCTTTGAATTTACGTAACATCAACAAGATCATCAGATGTTTAATTGTCGTTTCATTTGATAGTTTGGAGCCTGTATGAACTTAAAAATCTTTCTCTCCACCTCGTTAGCTAACTGGGGGATTCATTTATCTGCTTCTTGGAATTGTCCGTTAAATTTAACTGGCCGGAGAGATTGGATTTCAAGTCGCTCGCCAGTGACTTGGCTGATTAATTGGCTCTATAGCTTAGCTAAAACTCATTAGTTGGAGTCAGTCGCAAAACTTGACCAAATTTCGTCTGGATTAATTGAATTCACTATGGCCTTACTGTTGCTGAAAAAACACGAATTGGAATGGCTACTTTTTCAGCTCGTTAAGGCACACTCTAAATCTAATAACTGAATTTGAGCAGCGAAAATTTAATTAAATAATAAAATACTTTTGAGGGTTTAGAAATAAACCCAAGTTCAGCTTAAGCCATTAAGCAGCTCACAACCTTTTATTTGCTAAAGGACAAACCGGTATACTGAGAAGGGTTTTTGGACTGATATATTATAACCCATCCCAAGTAGCAGGCCCCTGCCCTCTCTCAAGATAGGCTGGCCAGCTAACAACAGACCGAGACCAGCTGTTTGAATGGCCTGGCCAACTTTTTGGGCCATGTTGGACTAGAATACTTGGGCCTGGCCGGCTGACCCAGTCAAGGCCACTCCAGGATATGTATGCCCATTGTCCCCTGTGTTTAATTTCCGAACTAATCCCATATCCCAAAGTTTTGGGTTTAGGTATGGGCCTGTACAGTCCATTTTAACGATTACTTTCTTTAGACCATCATTGAGTTTTTGGGTTGGGTATTCTCTGTTTAACATTTAGCTTAGCGATGTTGCTGGCAGAGGCCCAATAAAACATGCATGGCCCAGCGCCCAGGTCACCATATTTGTTTTTGGTAGATAACAAGTTTCATTCCAACAACAAAAGAGCATAACAGCAATACAAAGAAAGAGCCAGAGGCTGAACAACCTACGCTAAAGCAAGGAGAAACCAACATAAAAGGCATAGAATCTACTACTACAAAAAAGCCAACAAAACAAAGGAACTACTACTAATACTACACTCGATTAGAGAGATGATGACGCACTGGATCCGAAATCCAAGGTCACCACCATATTTGGGAGAATCTTAAATTTCTCACATTATATAACCATGAAAACATGGGTAATTGGCACCTTGGTAGTCTCTTCCGGGGATAACATGGGCACTTGACCAATTAAAATTGGCCAAGTGGAACCTTAGGCTGGGATTTCCTACTAACTCAATTTTACAATCCTCTCTACTAACCCAATAAAATAATGCCACCTATACCTAAACATGCTTTAGAATCTTAACTTGTGCAAATAGTTAACAGCTGTTATTCCCCTCCCTTAGACATCTTTTCCTAAAAAAATATTTTCTTTGTGCACGGTTTCTTTGTAATTCCTCTCTCCTTTCTGGTGTTGCCGGAATTTATTATATTCACCGGAGTGGATGGCCTCAAGTATAAGCTTCACTACACAACCATTGAACTAGAATCAATCAGGATGAATGCACAGGAGGTGATGAGAAAAAGCGAGGAGTATGTAAAGCAGTTGCTTGATCTCCTGAAGGTAGCTTGCCAAGAAAGAGATGAAGCACAAGATCAGTTGCAGAGACTACTTAATAATGCCTTGCCATTAGGTCCAACTGAAATCTGCACTGTTTTCCCATGTGTTGCAACCAAAGATGGCAAATTCAAGCGTTACTGAGTCTGATAGTCTCTCTGAAACATTCAATCACCACTCCCATGGTTCCTCCCCTGTTGATTCCTTCATTGATGCAATTTCATCATCTGAGCTCACAAACATGAACATTGCTGATTCAAGTAACACAGGCGTGCAACATCATCCCTTTGTCCAAGAATGTAACAAGTTAATCCCCATGGATATGGTATCTGCTGGAAATAGTGGTATCGTGTCTAAAGGTTCAACAGAGGTGGATCGGGCTTCTCTGGTAATTGATAATCTGGTTAAGGGAAAGCAGCTTCCCCAAAAGGGGAGACTCTTGTAGGCTGTAATAGAAGCAGGACCACTGCTTCAAACACTTATCGTGGCGGGTCCTCTATACCTCAGTGGCGAAATCCTCCCCCTCTTCAGCCCTTAAATATCCCACCTGTTTCCATTAAAGGGTGTGATTCTGATACAATTAATTGGGCTCCAGATGCCAACCCAAATTACAATGTTAAAACTTTTTTCAGTTCTTCATCGGTAAATATAACAAATTCCGGCAACACCAGAAAGGAGAGGGTGAGAGGAATTATAAAGAAATCGTGCACAAGAAAAATATTTTTTTAGGAAAAAGATATCTAAGGAAGGACAATAACAACTGTTAATTATTTGCACAACTTAGAATTCTAAATCATGTTTAGGTATAGGTGGCAATAAAGAGAGGATTGTAAAATTGAGTTACTAGGAAATCGGGACTGCTATTGCAGCAGAGTTAACTTGTCCTCTCCAACTCTTCGCAAAGCACCACTCTTGTGCAAGGATTGTAAATCCTTGTTAAGGGGAATTGATAGAGACATTCCCATTCTGTTTAAGGGCCCGGGGTATTTGGTACAGATCCCAAGTCTCTGCTACATACTTTGCCAACACATAATCCCTAGAGCAAGGGTGAAGACGGATTCATGTTAATTAGGTCAATTGGAAGTTTGGAACTCCACTCCATTCTATATTTTTAGACCCATATGTGAGATTCTTATTTGATTTTGGAGGCTATGTTAGATTTGATTTCTAATTAAGCAATCTATTTTTTTACTAGCTAGAACAGTGGGAGTATGGGACCCACATTAACATAAAATGTATGCTATGCTTTTATTTTGACCTAGAAAGCTACATGAGCTAAATGATTAAGCTAGCTTTAATTTTAAATACACCATCTTAAATTAGAGTGGGACCCATATATTCTCCACTCTATATTATTTATTTTTGAATTAAATTTAATTTAATTTAACCCTTTCTCCCTGAGTGGGAGGCCAATCAAATTTTATTTTCTGTCGGCCACATTTTGCTTAAACTGAAACCACAAAATAAGAGCAAGCTGATTAAATTGAAACCACAGAGTTTACAAATTTTTCCTTCTCAGAATATAGGCAGTCATAATGAAGACGGTAGGGTACTCATCATGACTTGCTTCCTACGTAGGCTCATTTTCATGCTGTACAAGTGTGGGCAGTGACGAGACAGACCCAGCTAATATACAATATTCATTCCGAATTTCCGATGCCTTGGTCATTTTTAACCATTTTCGTTTACCAACACTTGGTTTATTTTAAATAAAACTTATAATTAAGAAAATCAGCGATCCGACCACTGAAAGTGTCAGACGACAGATATATTCAACACGGCACCTGAAGCAGCAAGTTTCAGCAGGTTAAGAATGAAGTTGCACTTCTTGAGCCCTCCTGGCCTCCTCCTTTCTCATTTTCCTTCTAGTACTCCAAATCAATCTGCTGCCTCCCACATCTCACCGGCCCCCACTCTACAGTCTCTACTCACTAAAAATGCACTCGCCTTGCTACATAGAACCACCACCGCCGCCGCCTCCTATGTTCCTCTCATCTCCGATACCCACGGCGCCACCAGAACCACTTGATCTAGAATTCAGTCATCATCAACCCATACCCATCGGCATCCCAATAAATACCCTGCCTGTGTGTCCAATTCAACCTCTGCTCCCCTGGTCTACTGGCCTCTGTGACTGCTGTGCTGACGTTGCTAATTGTATCTCTTAAATCTCTCCTTTATCCTGATCTTATCTCTTCTTCATCAGCTCTTATATCCATCCACTTACCACAATTCAATGGTTGTGTACTCCTTTCACAGGTTGCATCACATGTTGGTTTCCATGCATTACGTTCGGCCAGATGGCTGAGATTATTGACAAGGGATCAGTTTGTGAGTAACTCATGTTAATATTAATTTTATGCTTATATATATATATATATATATATATAGCTAGCCTTATACAATTTTGGGTTTCTGAGATTGATTAAATGGGTGCAGCCTGTGGAACAAGCGCCCTGATTTACCAAGTTATGGCTTTGACCACTGGTTGTGCCTGCATGTACTCCTGCTTCTACCGGAGGAAGCTGAGGCAGCAATACTTGTTGCAGGAGAGTCCTTGTGATGATTGTCTGGTTCACTTCTGTTGCGAGCCATGCGCCTTGTGTCAAGAGTACAGAGAGCTCAAGAACCGTGGATTCAACATGTCCATAGGTCTCTCTCTCTCTCTCTCTCTCAGTTTCTTCCATTAACTGATAAACTGCCATCTATTTGTCCATTTTCAGTTGTAATTAATATTCAACGAGTCCTGTGTTCTCTGCCTTAATTATAGGATGGCATGCTAACGTGGAATGGCAAAATCGTGGAATAACAATGGCTCCAATGGTGCAAGGAGGCATGATCCGATAGACTGAACAACATATGTACTTTAACTATATATATTTGGTGTCAAAAATTAAATGTTCTTGTTCTTGTTCTTGTTCTATGTGATACAATCAAAATGATATTTATGAGTTGAGGTGCAACTTTGCTATTGAATCATTTTTTTTTAAATAACCTTTGACTTTCAAGTAGGGGTGACCATGGGCCTGGGGCCGGGTTCCGGGCATAAAACTTTTTTTTTTTGTAAAATATTATATAATATAATGTATAATTAATTTTGTATATTATATAACATTTTTTTTTGAAAAATTAGAACACCCCCTATAGTTTGAGACTTATTTACTTGTCAACCTTTCACTGAGAATTGTTTTTTTTTTTTTTTTTTTCATCTCAAAATAATAAATGATCACCTAAACTGAGTGCAAAATGCTCAAGCGATGGGCCCATCCATGATTGTTTATTCCAAACTTATATATCCTAACATTTCTTTTTGCAAAAAATAAAATTAACCAAATAGAATCAAATAGAGTGGTTTCTTGTATTTTATAATGGGCAAAATAGTATTTTTATTTTATTTTTTATTAAATTTATTCAAATGGACATTAAGGTCAAATCTATCATTTTCCGCTGTCATCTAATAAAATGTCAATTAAGTAATTAATATTCCAGAGGAAAGCCTACATATTCAAAGACTTTGAAAGGCAATCCAAGATCATGCACTAGATCTCTAGTCTAGGGGGCAGGATAGAAATGACGATTGAATGATAAAGCGAGGGGCAGATTCTTGATTTGGCATGGGCATTTGGAGAGCGTTGAGTGGTGATAATGGCTAAACGAGCAATAATCAACCTAAGTTGTACAACAACCTTACAAAACTCCCGGTTTGTTCTAGCTAGAATCAATCTTACGGAATTCGTCTTCCTTTTGATTGGACGGTGTCTTATCTGTGTTTTTTAGTCTATGGAGGTTTGACTCCTCTTCGATCTCCCAAGACAGCATTAATTCTACTTCCTCTTTGATCTATATAACCACCACTCATACCCCAACCCAAGCATGTATAAAAGTAAGAAAAATACATAAAAGTATTTCTTAGTTGTGTTGAATTGTTGATTTATTTCATTGAGTTTCCTTAGTCCCTCGTGTTTTAGTCAAAGTAACTCTATATTTTGATTAAATTATAGATTACTATCTTCTACTTTGGGAGTAGTGATAAATACTTCCTAAACTTTCATTTGTGATAAAGACTCCTGAACTTTTAAATTCTGACAAATCCTCCTCTATTAACATTTGACTAGTTAATTTTGAAAAAGGTTCTCATATAATTGTTTAGATTTTTTTAAATCCCCAAATTATCTTTTTTTCAATGATTTTTAGAGCTTTTTTATTTCCATTTTTTAACCCAAAAATTTACTTCCGCCCACCTGAATTAGGGATGCATTAACTATTGTCAGAAGGCAGGAAAAATATTATATGGGAGGATTTAAACCGCCCAGCCCCAAGCCCAAGAAGCAACAACTGAGAAAAAAAAATCATTTGTAACTGGTTTAGTTAATATTAATTACATATTGTGTTTGTTGCATAGCAGTTTCTTGGTTTTTTATTGTAATTCCATTTTATAGAAGGTTTTATACTAGATATTTTAGTAAATTGACTTCTTCCATCACTCTACTTAATGAAGAGGGGGCATGTGCCTGAATCTAAAAGTTTAGGGGTTTTTGTCGAAAATAAAAAATTGGGGATAATTGCCACTACCTTAAGGTACAAGTACAGGGTAGTAATCTGGAGTTCACCTCTTGAGTCTTGATTAGTGTCTGAACTTGGTCCCCAAGAAAACTTAGTTTGATCAGCCCAAGACCGATCTATCACCCCTGCTGTCTCTATCTATTCAAATATATATATATATATATTTGGCTTATTACTCTTATATCATTTTAAGCCTTTCAAGAAACTATAAAAGGCCAGCAAACCGCCTCACGTACAGACTGCCTTGAGAATTATCCACGCCACGCATGCAGCATTGAAACCCAAATTCATCAATAAGCTGGAAATATAAACCAGTTGGCCAACCCTAAAGCAGAAATGGTACGTAGCTTCCTCCTCAATCCCACGTACACAGCCAGTGCTAGTTTAAACTCATCCCCTTTTCTTCCTCCTCTTCTTTAGCCCAAACCGAACTTCCCCTATGAGTGGGAATGCTCCGCCTCCCCTTTCAGTTCATCCTCAAGCACAGGTAAGAGTGTCAATGGACTGGTTTTAGATGAATCTATTCAAATCAAAATTAATTTAGACAGATAAAACGGACCAATAAGTCATTAAATTGGACTAATTCAAACTTAATAGTTTAAAGTATTTATTGGATTGGATTGGACTTGGTCTATCTGTAAAGAATATATATATATATATATGCCATTAATAGATCAAATTTGAATTAAAATTAAAATATTTTGAATAAATTAAACAGTCCCGATATTAAATTAGACCGATCCAAAATGATTCATTCATTAAATTAATTAGATTTAACCTGATCCATTTGTAATGGATTCATGTGCAACGATATGATGGATGTTAATAATTGTATGTTCTAAGTATCAATTAATATTAAAATTTCTTTTGTAAATTCTTCTCTTCTGCAACTCTCATGTCTACCCAGTTTCCATGATCGATCTGAGCTTGTTGCCACAGGTTGCAATAACATATATGTCGGTCATGTATCCATGTATTACGTACTTTCGACCAGATTTCTGAGATCATAGATAAAGGAACATCAGGTGATGAGCAGGACTAATTGATGAAATTAGTGAGTCTGATTTAATTTATTTAACATACATAGTCATGGGTTTGGAGATTGATTCAGTGAACATGTGTTTACGTTGTATTAATTGCATGTGAGAGCCTGAGAGGAGAGCAGCCTGTGGAGCCAAGGGAGCCGCGCGCCCTTTAGTCATCGCATCGTTATGGCGATTGGCGACATTTGGTCCTTTTCATATACTCGTGTTTCTTTCGGACAAAGCTAAGACGTCAGTACTCCATCCAAAGCTGGATTAAGGCTGGACCCAAATTCACAGAACAATGTATCTACAATGCAAGTATATATGGCAATGGATATATCCATCTATCATTTAATATTGTTCGCATATGTAAAAAGAGAAAAGTTCTCTAATCAAGTCAAAAAGTAGATTTACCAAAAAAAGAGTCAAAAAGTAGGAATTCTGATATGTTGCCAATAAGCCACTACAACTCCGCACTTTAGTAGTAGGGGTGTTCACGGTTCGATTAATAGAATGGTGTGGCATATTTTTTAATCGAATTGATAGTATTAGTTTTTGAAAAACGGATAACCGAAATAGAATGGAAATTTATTTGTTAATCGTTAGTTTGGTTTATTGATTTTTTGTTTTTTTAATTTTTTTAATATATATTATAAAAATATAATAAAAAATTATATATATAATATTATATTTTAAATGATAAATAATATATCATATATTACAAATATAATGCATATTTATTAATTTATAATATATAATATATATAAATATATATATCGGTCAATTCGATTAACTGTTGGTTTTTTATATTAATTAATCGAAATCGAACCGATACTTTCAATTTTTTAAGAACACTGAATCGAAATCAAACTGACCAATTCAATTAACCTATTTTTCAATTCGATTTCAGTTGGTTCGATTTTTTAATTTTTTTTTCTCACCTCTACACATTAGGAGCATCTCCGTTGGGTAGATAGTCCTGATGTGCAGCTAATAGTTTTTTGTTGTGAGGCTTGTTAGAAGAGTTTATTAGATCATATCCAGTTCCATCAAAGTAGAGGACTTCCCTACGTGACCTGTTGGCTGTCGTTTATTTCTACCAAGGGGTGGGGCCGGGGGATGGACCGCATAAGAAAACATTTAGACAGAAGAAGTTACAAGTTTACAACTCTCTGTCCTTCGTAAACTAAAAAATTTATAATCAAACTGATGGTGGCTCAATTGTGGGGTTTTTGAGACTTTGAACCATAATTTGGTAAAACCATTCTAATTTATTGGTTTAACCATCATACTGTTCGACCCATTGAACAGATCAGAGAACCGGATGGTTTTACTCAGACCAAAATTTATTGTAAGATTAAGGTCTGATCAGCTGTTAAGAGATTGATTGGTAACAGCTGAAGGGAGAATGATTTATTGTTTTATCTTTTAGTGAATAAGTTAAGGCCTTTTTGGATACTTTTATGTATAAAATATCTTCGTACTTTTGAAAGTATGAAAGTAGGAAAAACATCATATAGCATTTGTTTCACATACTCTATACTTTTGCTTTCATGCTTTTAAAAAACACCAAAAGTAAGAAATCGGCTTTAGATATTTCGTGCTTTTGGCAAAACAATGCTTTTTTTTTGTGTGAACAGTGGGTTACGTGTAACCACCCTTCGATAAAACTTTCAACCCTACCTCTCCTCGCCGCTGCTGGAGTCAGACCATCGTCGCCGGTCTAAGACAACCAAACCACCGGAAGCATGAATGGATGTGTTTTTTCCAAACAAAAAATAGTACTTTGTTTTGGAAAACATACTTTTCAAAAATTTTTACTCAAACGGGTTTTAAAGCAAAAATATTTTATATACTTCATATTTTAATATTTCTAAAAATAGAAGTCTATTCAAAAGGCTTATTAAAAGGTTTATTGCAAGCTTTTTAATGGCTAAAATTGAAATTGAATTAATTAATTGCTATATCTTTCAAATATTTATTTATTTATTTATTTAATTATTTTACACACTAAAAATAAAAAACAATAAGTCATTCACTTCAGTCATTTCAGCTGTTATCAAATGGCTGCCCTAAATTAAATAATTTACGACCCAATAAATTAATGGTCAGTTCGCCCAAATTGACTGGATGATGATGAGTCACTAAAACCATCAACCAATCACAAAAAATGGTGAGCCATCTATTTTGAATCATTGTATCATGTGAAGTTCATTGACCCGGGTTGCATCCGGATATAAGAGTACATCTGCCAAAGTTGAACTTTTTTTTTTTTTTATTATGGGCAACAGTAAATTTTCAGGCCGACGACCTTAAGCAAAGAGGTTCATAATACCTCTGCATCAGGTTGCTTGGACGTAGTTGCTGCTTTTTTTGGGGTAAATGGGTTTCATTTCATACTATGATATTTCTCTAAGCCGGAATGAAAAGAGTCCCATCCGAGATCTTACCCATCATCAACAATGGTCAACGGAGACATGCTTAGATAATTAAACCAGTGGTTGGACTTGGACCCACAAAGCAGTAGGATCAGACTCACAGTTTTCATTCTGGATAAAGGTCAGGTTTTGCTCTAAAGCGAAGGGACCAAGAGCCCAGCGCCCACAATAGCAATTAAGGTGCCAACTTGCTGGTTGGTTAGGTTTCCTGCGAGTTCTAATTGTATTCCTCCGCTGCATATCTACTACTCACAATCTGTTTCCACATTCTCACGGAACATTACAGCTGTGTAAATTGTAATAGAGAAGTATCTCCCTCCCTCATTCATGGGACATGCCCGGATCATGTAAAGTAGGGATGTGGGAATAGATTGTGATAACATAACTGGTGTGGCCTGCACTAGGTAGGGATGTTCAAATTTTGTTATTAAACTGAAAATTGAACTAAATCAAATAAGTCAATTCGGTATAATTACTTTGGTTTTTGGTTTGATTCGATTTGATTTTATGAAATTAGAATTATCAATTTTTTGTTTGGTTTGAAAAGAAAATCAATCAAGCCAAATCAACTAAAATAAATACATATATTCATATTTTAATTATAAAGATTGATATATTTTAATAATAATTATTAATATAAATATAAAATACATTTATATTTTAACTAACCAAGTTAACTGAATTAAAACCAAACTGAACTCATTTGTATACAGTTTGGTTCGATTCGGTTTAAAGTTTAATTCAATTTGGTTCGATTTATAAGAGTGACCTAACCAAAATGTCGGTTAAGTTCAACCCGGCCAAATAAACACCCCTAGCACCAAGGGTTGGGGGATGAGTTACCCCGTTGTGTAATCCCATGGGGTAAAAAAACAAAACAAAAGCCCCCAGCTCCACATTGGCCCTACAAAAGGAGGGAATTCCAATCTTGATTAATAAAAACAAGCCGCCTTCTTTGAACCATCCATCAATCCAATAAAAACGAAATTAATAATACCCATTAATTAGTAGAAAACCAAATCTTTTGATTTCTGATTTCCCCTGAATTTGACTTGGGACCCATCTGTAATACAACAAGGAGCACCCAGACTCCACCAAGGGCCCAACCATTGCGTGTTCGATTTGTACAACACTATCATGCTGAACCCTCAAGCATTGGTGCACTTCCTGAGAACTTCCAAGAAATCCCTCCGTCTTTTCTTTATTTCTTATGTGAAAATGCTGCAGAAAAATGACTCTGTTGGGGAATTTGAATTCATCCCAAATTATATAGGCCCAGATCAAGCTGCTTACTGCTTAGATTCCACTATTCTTCACCAGACGAATCGACTACTGCGTGCTGTATTTTTATAAACCTGGTAAATTAATGGCAGAACTATACATTTCCTTCTCTCTTAAACAGACCCCATACGGTCACGCCAAACTTGACTATTCCTTCCTGGCTTCAATCTTCTTCCTATATATACCCAATTCAAACCTCCTCCATTCTATCTTCAGCTGAATAAACCTCTCTGAAGTAGTGTTGAGTCTTGATTGTTTGAAAGATGTATTCAGAAAAAGCAGAACAATACAGTCAGAATAATCCCCCGCCTGCCGTTCCAGTTCAAGTTCAGGCCCCAGTCGATTGGTCCACTGGTCTCTGCGACTGCTCCGACGATGTTCAGAACTGTAAGAATTTTGGGTTATCTAGCTCTGATCTTCTTTACTCTCTAAACTCGTCCAATTTAATTCTTCACCACCTGATGTCTCTCCACCATTTTTAACAGGTTGCGTGACATGTTGGTGCCCATGCATTACCTTCGGCCAGATCTCGGAGATAATCGACAAAGGAACCTCCTGTGAGTATAATAATCAAACTGGTCTGATGATGATGAAGTGGTGAATTCTGGGTTTCTGGTTTTCCGAATTTGAAATGATGCTAACAATAAAGATGGGATGAGTGCAGCCTGTGGAACCAACGGAGCGCTTTACACCCTTATCTCGTTCGTGATTGGTTGTCCCTTCTTGTACTCGTGCTTCTATCGCTCAAAGCTGAGGCAGCAGTATTTGTTGAAGGAGAGCCCTTGTGTCGACTGCCTGGTTCATTGCTGTTGCGAGTCATGCGCCCTGTGTCAAGAGTACAGAGAGCTCAAAAACCGTGGATTCGACATGTCTTTAGGTTAATTAATTTGCTTAATTCTCCCTTTTGCCTTGCTATGGCTAGCTATCTCAAACGCCTGATCTGATGTCGATTTGTTTTTGTTCTTTGGATGTCTGCAGGCTGGGATGGTAATGTAGAGAAACAGAACCAGGGAGTGGCGATGGCTCCAGTCGTGCAAGAGGGCATGAACCGATAGAGTGGCTGATGATACTGGTTATGTTGTTTGAACTGTGAATTTGTGGTTGTTTTATTTAACAAATAGGATGATTCTGTACTATATATTGTATGTGTAAAAGTGTTGAATTGGCTGAGTGATTTTCTGTTCTCTTGCAATTTGCATATTTGAATCAAAGTAAAATATCTGAATAAGACAATTAGTTCTTTCGGATAAATTACTGAAACCTCTCCTGAAGTTGTAACCATCTTCCCTGTACTTATTGACACAGTTGCAAGTAGACCCCTCCTTTAACAAAAGGCATGAAAGTATCCAAAATACTTGCATAGTTACTATTGTGGCTACTTTCTATAATAAATAAAAAAACAAGCAACCATTACAAACGTTACGAGGAACTAAAGTTGCAATTTTACTTTTGAGCAATTGACATAAAGGATAAATTTGAAAAATAAATCAATTTGGGAAAAGTGAAAATTTGGAAAATAAATATTTTTTGTAAAAAAATAACTGTATAAGCATTTTAGACATTTTCATACCTCTTGTTAGATAATTACAACAAAGAATCTACTTGCAATTATGTCAAAAAGTTCAGGAGAGATTATTATAATTAACAAAACTTCAGGGAAGTTTCAGCCAAAGGTTTTAGCAATTTAAAGTTGGTGAGCTTGACCTTATCTGTCTAGTATTAAATTACTGGTTCGAACTGTTTCTGGTGGTTGTAATACTTTAAATATAGAAAAGATATGATATCCAAACAACATCTGACCAATCAATTAAAATCATAAATGATATAACAAATGGGTGTTATTTATCAAAATTCATGGATGGGTTTTGATTGATCAAAACTCTTTCCGGTTCCCGCATCATAAATTTTCCAATGTCCATTATCCAATATTCGTTCTAGGTCTTAGGAGAGGTAGGCTTAAAATTATTGATATAAGGGGTAAATCATCATAGAATACAAACTACCTTCTCATGAGTCGTGACATTTGGAATTTGACAACTTTACCCTTCTCTATATTTGGTTCAACTTATTTAAAAACATAAAAACAATCTTAAAATTACTTGATTTGGACAAGTAGAAAGGATTTTAAACTTATAAACCAAAAAGTAGTTTAAATTGAAAATGTAGCAAGTAAGCAAGGGCTTGATAAACTGATACATGTGGACCCCTCCACAATGTGGTGCTACATGGAACCCAAAATGCACACATGATATTGGTACGGGGAAAATAGCTTATTTTTAAAATGGAAAAGTTATTCACCCTAAAAAGCAATTTTTTTAATAGCAGGAGTGGGATTGCCACTAAAGTAGATATTTTATTATAATAATATCCATTTGGTTGCTTTTCCATTAACATTCTTTCAAATAAAGCGCGGCTTGACTAATTCTGTAGAGGCAGTACATTAGGCTGCTTTATTTTAGATGACTCCGCCTATTTCTACCACACAAATGCACCTAATCGAAATGGTACATTAGGCTGTCCATGTTTTCTCTCCAAAATTTTCACTTTAATCCTGATGGAAATATCCATCTAAAGTTTCAATATTTAACTATAGAGTATCAAAGAAAAGCTTATAACCAATCAGTTAAAGTGGCAATTTGTCTTAAAAAAGGGTAAGTTACAGAGACCTCTCTGTAGTAGTATGTTTTGAGACAAAGACCCTCCTGTATTATGACCGTGAGACAAAGACTCCCTTCTATTAGCCTTTCGTTGAAGTTCGCCGTTATAATATTTTTTAATCTCCATATTATCCTTATAATAATTATTCGAACAATTGAAAGAAAAATGCTATTCATTTTCCTCGACCTCATGATACACGAACAGTAGCAGCAATGGACTTATGTTGAAGTCCTTCCTCTCTCTCCTCCTACCTCTCTTCTTCCCCTTTCCCTTTCTCTCTTCCCCTTTCTTCTTTGAGATTTCCTCTATTTTCCGTTCCTTGAAAATGGAGAAAAATTGGACTAGGCACACCAAAACAGAATTTCTGGGTGAACATCGACATCGGAAGCAGCTTGAGTTGGGCTCGATGCCAACCCTATACTAACTGCTCCAAAATTATAGTTCATCTGATGATTATATAGAGTTACAACAACAACCACCATGATTTGAGTTCATTATGATACTAACCCATCTCTGATTTGTGACTGTGAGAGGAGGAACCAAACATTCACAAATTTATAAAAGGTTTTGGCTGATTGGCTCATGACTGTGACTCCAAGCGACGGGCGGTAGTTAGGATTGTTGGAAATATTCTCTGGCTCTCGTCTTCTCCTCACCAGTTACCCCTTTACACACTCCCTGATTGCTATGTCTATGTAAGTGAAAAAAGAGTCACGAGAGAGAGAGAGAGAGAATATGTATTGTTTGAACATGACAACTGATCCATCCATTCAATTTCCAAGTGGCACCATTCAACTTTCAAATAGCCATGCTAGCGAAAGAAACTGGATTCTTGTAATTAATCTGTCATCATTATTGTTTGGTATAGATTGAGCTTGATTGGAACAATACTAGACGAACGAACATGGCTAGTGTAGGAGGAGAAGGCGTTCGAGACTGCAATTGCAATGCACTGGGCTGCTAACAACTCAAAAGACCGATGGGAGAAGATTGCTTCCATGGTTCCAACTAAGACTATAGCTGAACTGAAGAAACACTACGAGGTTTTGGTCGAGGATGTAGATGCAATTGAGTCGGGCCAAATCCCAATTCCCACTTACGTCAAGGAGGAGCTACCAGTAGCAAAGATTAGCACCTCTTTCCTGCTTCTACTTCTGGGGCTACTGATTTAGGCTGTTCATAAGAAGACCCAACCCGATCAAACCGACCAACCCGAATTGGCCGGGTTTTCTTCAGCACCGGTCGGTTTCAAACCGATGGTTTGGGTCGGTTTGACCCGAACCGAACCGACTTAGTAGTTAGTAGTTAGTTCCTAGTTAGTATTTACAACCTACTTAGTTCCTACTTAACTAAGTTGTCTCTATCCTAGTTACAACCTAACTTAATTTATAGTCTTATAGTTAAGAATGACATTAATGGCAAGTATTGTAAAACAACTAGACAATGAATTTTTTTTGAAAAGTTTAAAGAAAAGAATCAAAGGATCCTAGTTTTTATGGTCTTTTACACCAAATAGGCAACTAATTACAATTAGAATTAGGTGTCCTTTTTTACTTAGATTAGAAGGTTTCTTGAAATATACAAATTTCAATCTTCTTTCTCTAATACAGTTTGACTTTCTATTTTCTTGATAACTTCTATTCTAACTTGGTCCACCCCCTACCAATTTCAGTCTTCTTTCTCCAATCTACCAATTTATTACCATGGTTGAACTTAGAGCCGAAACCAACCCAACCTGACTCAAACCGATCAGGTCGGTTTTGCTTAACACAAGGTCAGTTTCGGTTTCAATTTCAGGTAACCCGACCAGGTCGGGTCGGTTGAAAAAATCTTAGTAAACCGACCCAACCCGACCCGTGAACATCCCTACTACTGATAAGAGGCTGAACTGTAACTTTGGAACTGGGTTTTCTGGGTTGGGCACTGATTCAGGCGAGATTGGCATCGGACCCAACTCAGGCGGGTTTAAATAGGTTTTAAGAGAAAAAGGGCAAAAAAAGAAAATAAAAAAAGTTTAGTGGGGTATTTTGGTAATTTAACGCATTTTATCATTTGACTTAACGGTGTTAAGAAATCTTTGTCTCATGGTCATAGTACAGGGAGGTCTTTATCACAAAACAAAGTACAGGGGGTCTTTGTCACAGACCCCATAGTAAAAGGGGAGTCTTTATAATTTACCAAAAAAAAAGTTAAGTGGCAAGTAATCGGGTGGCCTCATATTCGTCAAAACTCATTAGTGGGTTTTGATCGGCCAAACTCTCCCGGTAGCATACATTTACCCATATGTTACACTATCAACATCTATATAGTGTTATTTTCATATTTAACATGGGACCTTCCCCTATTAATTAGAGAGAAAGAGAGAAGTGTAAATAGGGTTGCTCAATTTTCAAGTTATCTCTACATTTATTAAGTTACAACACGCTTGCAATTTAATTGTATTATTTATCTATCTATTACCATATAAAGTGAATACTTGATATAGGTTATGTGCAAGTTATAAAAGTTAAATCTAAATAATGTATATATATATATATATATGTATGTTTAAAATTTTTTCAACATCCGAAAGTGGAGGTATTGTTCTACCACAACTAAAATTGCTAAAAACTAAGATAAGAAAGATTTAGAAAGAGTGTTATGCTAAGAAGAAAATATGCTCTTAGTAGTTCAAGTGTACTCCTTAATTCGAAATTACAAAATTCAATTCTAAGTCCATGAATCAAATAGAGCTTTTGATTGTATTTGGATAAAAGAAATTAGGCTATGCTTGGTTTGAAGGAGAATGTAGGGAAAGGTAGGGAAACCTTTACAAATCTTGTATTGGTTTTCTTGTATTTTCCTTCCTTTTTCTACCATTTCCTTCAAACCAAACATGGCCTTAGGGAATGGAAATGGATTTGATAATCCACGGAATTCAGCCCTGATATGAAGAGTAGTGTTAAAGTATGATACCAAAAACTTTACAGCCAATCAATTGGTATCATAAAAGAGGTGACCAATCAAGTGGTATTCATCAAATCCATGAGGGTGTTTTGATTGGTCAAATCTCTTTCACTGTTGATGAGGGCGGATTTGGCCCTCCAATGACATTATGACACCTGGTAGCCTCTTGACAACTAAGTGTAGCCTCTTGACAACTAGGCAATTCGCCACTAGGCAACTCGCCACAGGCAGTTTGCTACAGGCAGCTCACCACAGGCAGCTCACCCTCATGTAGCCTGGCACCTCAGAACAACTAGGTGACACCCGGACATCAACTTTCCTTTGCTAAGTTGATGGTGTCCACTAGGCGGCCTGGCATAGGCGCGAGCTGGCAGCCTGGCCTTAGCGCGACCTGGCCCTGGCACGAGCTGGCAGCCTGGCCCGGGCGTGACCTGGCCCTGGCACGAGATGGCAGCCTGGCCCAGGCACGACCTGGCAGCCTGGCCCTAGCGCGACCTGGCCCTGGCACGAGCTGGCAGCCTGGCCCTGGCGCGACCTGGTGGCTTGGCCCTGGCGCGACCTGGCCCTGGCACGAGCTAGCGGCCTGGCCCAGGCGTGACCTGGCGGCCTAGCCTAGGCACCGACCTGGCGGCCTGACACAGGCGCCAAC